AAAGACAATTAAACACACCTCACACCCATTAGGCCACCTACTATCAACAACAACAACAAAACCAGAAAATAACAAGTATTGGTAAGGATGTAGAGAAATTGGAAACCTTGTACAATTTTAGGAATGTAAAATGGTATAGCTTCTATGGAAAATTGTATGTTGGTTCCACAAAAATTTAAAAATAGAATTGAAATATGACTCATCAATTCTACTTCTGGGTATATATCTCCTCAAATTGAAAGTAAGGTCTCAAAGAAATATTTGCACTTACATATTCATAGTAGCATAATTCCCAATAGCCAAAATGTAGAAGAAAGCCATGGTCCATAAAAGAATAAATAAAATATGGTATAAAGATGCAATGGAATAGTATTCATCCTTAAAAAGAAAGGAAATACTAACACATACTTCAATATAAATAAACCTTGAGGACATTATGCTAAATAAAATAAGCCAGTGACAAAAAGACAAATACTGTATTATTCCATCTACATGAGAGTACACAAGAGTAGTCAGATTCATAGAGATAGAAAGTAGAATGGTGATTCCCAGTGGAAGGGAGCTTGGAGATTTATGGTTGTTTAATGGGTACAGAGTTTCTGTTTTGCAAAATGAAGAGTTCTGGAAATTTGTTAGACAACATTGTGAATATACTTAATACTACTGAAATATACATGTAAAATGGTTAAGTTGGTAAATTTTAGGCTGTTTAATGAGGAAGATTAATTAAAATAAAACAGAACTAAAATGTAAGGGAGAAAGCACAAGAAGCATGCAGAGAGTCAGGTAATGTCAAGGGAATTCAAAAGAGAACAGGAGCATGCAAGATTAGGAGGAGGTCAATAAGCCAATAAAAAGGGGAGAAAATGCAGGCGGAAGAAAAGTAATCACTTGGAACAGTTTTCTGAGACAGTGGGAGATATCCAGAGCATAAGTGGGGAATTATCTGGGGCCACATTACAGCTAAGCAAAGAGTGGATGAGACTCAAATACTATCTGTGCTTTGGTGGGATGAAAGGTACACAGTAAGTTAAGGCAAATCTCATACAATAGTTTTCACATTCCCCCATGCAGAAGTTAAAGTGAATGGTCAAGATTTAAAATAGATTTTATAGGGAATAGAAGATAGAACTGATTAGGGACACAGAGAAAGACTGCAGGCATAGGTTGAAGGACCAGCAGAATTCAAGAGTATAAGACCATAAATGTCGAGAAAACTAAGATGGCGGCAGAGAGAAACACCGGGAAATTAATGCCGCTCACAACAATTGATAAATACCTCAGAGAAACAATACGGACTTCATCCAGAACCACAGGAAGCCTGGCTGACTGTAAATTCTACAACTAGAAGGAAGGAAAGGCACACTGAGAGCAAGAGAAGCTGCAGGAGAGAAGCGCAGAGGTATGGGGCTCGCGCGCACGGAAAGGGGCTGGCACCAGAGGACGCGGCTGTCCTTTTGAATACG